GAAACAATGAGTTTAATTACAGTGTATTGAGAGTGCCAGATCCTGGCATGTTAATGTACGTATTTATAATGTGTAATTCACAAAGTAATTCAAAAGGATCTTTAGCATTTTTGTGACCAAGTCTGTGGCAGCTTTATTATGGAGTATACTCGACTGAAACCTAAGTCAGTCCAAGGGGAAGCATTCATCAGCTGTGTTTCTTTGATCCAGCTAATTGTTTTGCTGACACCTAGAGTGCTAATGAAATTGCCCAGCCTCACAAATTAGGGCCTGTTGTCTCTCATTCCAAAGCTATAGACAGCCATGGCACTCCCCATAAGCATTATACTTCAGTACTTTTCCTGGTCCTTAGTCCTTGGCTGCACATTGAATGAATGTTCAATACCAGGACAACTGCAAAGCACGTCTCCAGGACTAAGTCTGTGACTTGGGTCAGAAAACATGTCCTAATTTGAAAAAGGAGAGAATGCCCATAGAAAACTACCAGTACTGCAGGTTGCCCATTTAGCATCATGCAACAGTTTCATCATGCTCTTGGTGAAGTTCATGGGGAACGTGACCCAAACTGTTCCTGCCTTTAGACTTGCTAGGACAGGTGACCTTGTAGTTTTATCAGAATGTCAGTACTAGAAGGATTTTAGGATGCATTTTTCATTTTGTGCACTGTCTTAAGGGCAACATTGTACTCGGCAGTTGAGTAATAACTGACAGAAGACCAAACACTGCTACGGCCAAAGGATATCTTGGGTTAACTCCAACTTGATTTAGAAATCACTGTTACTGTAACTTCTGTACATCATTTTCTCCTTTGTTTCAAAACTTAGTGTACCTTAGAAGAAAAAGAAAATCCTTAATCATAAGGATATTTTTTTTAGATATGAAAATTCATTAAATGATTATTTGCTAAATTATAGAATCAAAGTTAGTTTAACAGTGAATAAGAGTACTGAGAATTCCAAAGCTAACAATCCAGGCTTTTCTACTCAATTCTTTTTACCCTACAATTTCTGCTCGTACCACTTGCTTGTTTTCTGTCTCTCTTCCAAACATGTTTGGGGTCAACTTGGATATTACCTTTTTTCACCATCGGTTGCTCTATTTGTGAAAACTTTTTCAAGGACTTATTCATGATTGCCTTGATTTCCCAACTACTATTTCAGAGCTGTAATCTCATCTCCCATCTTTAACATCTCCCTGCTTTAACAGGGAGATTCAGAAATACACTGAAACATATCTCCAAAATTATTGGACATCTTAGTAACTGTTAACATTGGTGGATGGTCTTGCTATCTACATGTTGGGTTTGTGCCTTGTTACTAAATATATGGGTGGCTGATAGTATAAGCCCTATAAAATTGTATTTCTTCCTTTTTTGTTATATCTTCTAATAAAACAGTGTATGTTATTTCCTGCCAAATAACATAAAAAGAAAGCATATCTACATTTTTCCGGGGGAAAAAAAAAACCCCAAAACCATATTGGGACATTTAGTTAGGAGTTTTACCTATTTGGCTAATTTCAATTACATTTGAGATCTCAAAGGTCTTTATGAAGAATGTGAAGGGATGTTTCAGGTGTTGAACTGTGGCTGAGAAACTCATTTTAGGAAGGAGATTTGGGAATTGGCATACTACTATGGGAGCAATTGTGTGTTACATTTTAATATACCCTAAAAAATGATTTTGTAGAATAAAAACTTACCTTGCAATTCAGGTTCCGTATAATCAGGATTACAAAGTAGATAGTGTGATATTTTTTTGCTATATCGGGTAGATCTGTGCATTGTTCCCTTGTCTCCCACACTGTGGCAGGGTCTGCTGCCCTGTGCCTGTGCTGTACACTCTCCTGCACTGGCCTCCTGCAGTATAACCCAGTATGTGACACCAAATGTTTGTGGACACCAAGATAATACAGCTCTAGAAACCCACAGATTGCAAAATTGTGTTCTGCAATAAATGGGATTATTTCTGCTTTAGCTCATGTTCTCTGTAGCACCCTATGCTTCACATAGGCTGTTTAACTCCGCCACCATTGTCATACATTGTGCTGTGCTCTTGCAAACATTTATCATCTGCAGTCCTTCCAATAAACTGCAGCAAGGTGCACCACACCTGAGCATGTGAATTTGAATTATAATATCTGAAACCTTTTTGTTAGTAAATATAGCTTTATAAGTAAAAAAAAAAAGGTTCGTGGCTGTTCTGTATGCAGATTTTGAATATTGGTGTTTATATAGGCAGTACATGGTCAATATGGCCAAATGGAATTACTGTTGTGATTGAAATATTGTATTTTAGATTGTCAGATGTAATAGTGCCAAAGAATTGCTGAGACAAAAGCTTAGATGTGGAAGGTGTACCACTAGCATCCACATTTCAGAGTTCAGTTAAGGCTTTGTTCCATTTTTGTACTGTGCGTGTATATAAGACAAGAACATTGATACCATATAGAGCCTTATTTGGAAACAGTTTATACTGTCTTTAAAGCAATGATCAGGCAGATGCCCAGAATGCAGTACTTAAGGTCCAAGTCAGCTAAAAACCTTCCAGTCAGAGCACTTCAGTCTGGATGGTCTTATTTCTACATCTGAACAAGCTAATTATTTTGTGAACTCGTTGACGTGTGATACCTGAATTATCGGGGAAGGCTGTGACAGAAGTTTGGAACTGAGCTAAAATGATCATTGTTACTGCATATTCCCGCAGCAGTTTTGTAAGCGTAGATGAGCCTTACCCCATCCTGTGTTGTTCCCTAGTCCTTTACTGAACATTTAGCATGTTATTAAGCTGCCTGGCTGTCTTTTATTGAATTGGATACACTCTGGCATCAATATGTATTACGTATGAGCGCCTTATGTATGTAAAGTGTGTTTAAACGGCAGAGTTCCTCCAAGATCCTGCTGGGAGGGAATCAATCCAACTGACTCAATACTTTTAAATCACATCTTTATAGGAGAGGAAATTCACCGTTTGGTTAGGTTATGGAAGAGAAACATTTTAACTTTAATCACTCCTACAGAGTAAGTTTACACTTTGTATAAGGGTAATGCAGTTTGCAGTGTGACAGTAGGTTTCTGCAATGGAAAAACAGCCCTGACAAAGAACTCCTTTATACAGATGATGCAGCTTCTTTGTAGCTACAACTTGGTAACTTCTAGATATAAAAATACCATGTGAGAGCAAAAACTGAGTGAAAACAAATGGGACTTCCTGTGAAGCAGAGTCAGCTGCACTATCACACCTTTCTTGGTCGCTGAGAACGGCCAGGATTTGTCCTGCTAGCTTGCTTTATTTCTTTTCCAGGCCTTCTGTTGACGCCTCTTAAATTACACATTTGCAACTGCAGACAGAGAAATTTGTAACATACCTGTAGTGACCTGCCTTGACTGCACAGTGAGTAAAATGCTATTGAACTTCCCACGATTTCAACTGCCCATCAGCTCTAAACACAGGAACTACCGTATTTCCTTCAGGCAATTTATGTCTTGTTGGATAGGCTTGCATCTACAAACAACTTGAACTTTCTATGTTATTCTCAATTCTATGAGGTTAAAGTTTTGAGTTTTTTAAAGAAAAAAAGAAGAAACACATTATTCCAAAATAGGGAACATTTTCAGTTCTCTGTTGTGTTTATCTCATCTCTCTGTTTAGGCACCTGTTAATCGTAGAATACTTGAGGTTGGAAGGGCCCTCTGGAGATTGCTTTGTCCAACTCCTGTTGGACTAGACCACAACATTAAGATCAGCTTTGCTCTCACCCCCTCCTTCTCCCTCAAAAGTGAGCCACAATGGCAAAACTTTTCAGTTCTGGCACAACACTTCCATTTCCATTATATTTGTTAATTTTTGTACTCAAAGGATAGATTACAGCTGTACAAAACTACGAAATACCAAGCACTAGTACAAACATGAAGGCACTTTTGTTCCATACTGTAACCAATTTCAGATAGGGGTCAGACCCCTCTTCTGTTAGAGGCAGTGGGGTCTGCCCCCAACAGAGCTTTACCAAGGGCTACCCTAGTAAAGTCATTCTGACTTTTGTGCCTTTTAGCCTAAGCGTAGACAACTGCACATGGCAGCTCTGAGCCTGGATCCAAGCACACAGAAGGAGAAAACCTGCCTGTTGGGATCCTCACCAGCTTAAAAACACAGGAGCAATCACCGTAGCTAACGCTCAGGGAGAGGCTGCTGGCACATACAGCAAGAGCAGGGCTCAGAAGGGGCTGCAAAGTAAAGCAAGGGCTGCTACTACAACTCTCTTTGAGAAGTCATTAGCTGGGGGTATTAGTGTGTTGCATGGATAAATCTCATCCCAGGGACAGGGTTAGGCTGAGGTGCTCTTAGCCCAGGGCAGAGGTGTCCATCTCCACCAGATTCACTGCTGGCAAGTTTTGGCAGCAACTCTATCTGTTAGAACCATGCTGATAAGTATTTGGTTATATTTTAGGCTGGGAAAGTCTCATAATTCTCTACGGGAAGCCCTTCTATGATGTTGCCATTGCTTTTTCTGTGATCATGCTCTAAATGGTTGTAATCCCATGTTCAACAAATGTTTGCAGCAGAACTCATGTAAATTCCTGTCGTTGGGTCAATTTCTCAGCATAGACAAGACTGCTGGAGAGGTTAATTATGAACCTTTCTTTCTAACATAATTAGTTATTGATTAATGTTTGATAGGCTGAGATTAAAAAAAAAAAAGGAAGGAGAGAACATTATGAAGAAAACAAAAAAGATTGGTTTCTTGTATCACAGGAAAATCTTGATAACTCAGGAAATAACCCCTAGTGGAGAATTCTAGACTTGCGAACTTTTCCCCCATCATTCTGCTCATGACCTGCAATATAGATGTGAAATTGATTACAAATGACTTTTCAGGAGGAACCGATCCAGAGTAACCAAGGAAGTGAGTTTTATTTTTGAAGGTCTCTTATAATCATGCAACTTTTACAGACCAGCCAGACAACAACAGAGGGCAATAGATCTCTATGAAACATCACGTTTTCAGAAAGGTTTCCATTTGATGACACTGATGGCAATTTTGGCAGCTCTTTTCACTGCCTCACAGGGATCATTCAGACACTGCTGAAATGTACCTGTATGATCTAGGAGTGTCTTGCGGCCCTCTGGCAGCTCAGCCAGCATGGTGAGGGTTTTGATCGCACTCAGACGGGCTTTGCTGGTTTCCTCAGCAACCAACTTCAGTAAAGGTGGAATGGCTTCAGCACCTAGGGCTGAGAATCTTCCTGCAGGGGAAATAAACTGGCTTTAAAATGTGTTATTACATATAATCGACGTGTTTTTGAATTGCTACTTTCTACTCCCTGCCCAGCTACAGCTCTGAACACCCCAGACGGTGCAGTGCGAAGGGGTAGGACATGCCTTTCTTTTGAAGACCAAAACTCCCCGTCAGCTGTTTAAAGAAAAAAAGATCTTTCTTAATTAACTTTATCTGCCTTGCATATTATTATTTCATTTGCAAAGAATTACCTAAGAATATATGAGGCACTGAATGATAGCATAAACTATTTTGGGGGAGGGGGGTTAGATGCCGTGAAGAACATCCTCCATTCTTTTATTTTTAAAGACACTTCAAACACTGAGATCCACTCCTGTGTTGTCTTCAGTAGCCAGGGGGACAGTTGCAGAGGAGGACTGGCACACAACTGCTGTTATTAAGAGTCTTTTATGTCTAATTACTCATTCATCACACTGAAAAATTAGCAGTTAGTATTTTCAGTGTCATGTAACTTACTTGGGAGAACTACAGACCTCATTAATATTCATGCCTCTCCCAGCTGTGAGAAAGAAACTGCCTCTAACCACAGAAGGAGTTTCCAGAAAGTAGCGCTCCTCTGTTGGGGACTGGTGATTCAGAGTAGCTTCAGGTATGCGATCTCTTGCATGGAAAATGTTCCCCTTCTGGAGCAGTAATCTGAAGGGAAATGACGCCGGTGGGGTAGATAAATAACTTCTTGACCTACTTCAGGTGAATGAAACATGAGATATACTGTCCCCCCTACACACTACGGGGGAGAAAAAATAGTTGCTTGAGACAGATCTAAAGAAATGTCCTAATCTGCCCTATAGTTTCTTCAAGAGCATTGACACTATCAGAAACTGAGGACTTGGGGGGTGGGAGGGGCAAAAGTTTTCTTACTAAGTTGTCTTAGAATTGGATTTCCAGAAAGTATCCCACAGAACTGCCTCTGTCTCTCACCCTGAGGTTTAACAGTAGCAAACATCAGTGCTCCTGTTGCACTAGCTTGGACTTCAGGATCTGTATCTTCCAACAGGCTCACCAGCACAGGAATAACTTCTTCACATACCGCGCTTTTTCCCTCTGGATGAGTACTGCGCAGAAGAGATGGTTAAGTTGCTTTCTTGAACTGCGTCTGCTAACCATGCAGCCACCCACAGCTTCTCCCCATGCCTGGACTCCTGCAGCCCTCCTTCGTTTCATGACAACAGTGCTGACACAGTCCTCCCTCTCTGTTCTCTTTGGAGTCACAATGTTCTGACTGTTAGACAGATGGCAAGCACCGCTACCCAGCCACAAAGAAAAGAAAGGGGATGTCTGTTTGTGCCTGGTGTCTATTAAATCTACTTGCTGATACAACACTGATGATATCATATTAACCTATGTGTGTGGGCTTAACAATTTTTTTAGGCTCCTTTTAGGTGATGTTTGGATTATTTTTTTTTTTTACTTTCTATGATGCACCAGAGATTGATGGGCAACAGGATGTAGGATTAAGTGTTCTGGTGGTCCTAATGGCAATTTAGTTGGAAACCTGGCTGTTGAACCCTATATAGATTTTAAAACCTGCTATATTAGGGGTCTGTGATTAACTCTTCTCCTAGGTCAATTTTCTCTCTTTCTTTCCAGCCTCTTTAATGCGGGGAATATTTAACATGGCCCAGCTACTTTAGGGACCTAGAAAACAGCTGATGTCCATATTCTAGGTGCGTTTCTGCTTTCTTTCTATGACTCATTTTATCTACACTCTCTTTCTTTTCCTATAAGACTGTACTTTGTTATAGCACATTAGGAAGTGTTTTATGCCAATTGGTATGTAAACTACATGATCTGCAGACCTTTTTAAAACAGACATCTGTTGAGCACTTTTATTATATTTTGTCATTGCAGGACAGTGGACTTAAGTTGTTCCTTTCATCCAGTGTTTGATACACAAATTTAATATAAAGATTGCTTTTTCTGATCCATCACTGACGTATGTAGCAGCCTGTGTCATAAAATTATTTCTGTCCTCAATCACACTGAAAGTTTCTCAGGACTTTCAATTTTTTGAGAGACAGTGGTTGTCAAAAAAAATAAGGGACCTTCTCCCTACCTCTATAGTGGTCAGAACCTTGTTTTCACATGATCTCTCATGCAGGAATTTTTTCTCTGCAGTGCTGTACCAGGAAAAAAATCCTGATTTCACTGCCAATACTGAAGCCAAATAGGAGAAGGAATGACATTTCCTCATCAGCATCTGCTTTCTTGAGTGATTTATAGCAGTTATGATTTTTAGAAGTCTTCTACCTACGTGTACATTCAGGCTGATACTGCTTTACATGTGAAATATGACAGCTTCAATGTGTAGTGGAACACAACTGTAAACTAATGACATTGATTCATTCATTAAATGAGTATTTTCTTGGGCTTAAGTATTATAGACAGATTTCCTTTACCCGATTTCTAACAGGACCCAAGCTGCTTTGCTTCTGATGGCCACTGATGACTGTGTGAGCGTTTCCTTCAGGATAGTAATGGCACCAGCTGCTAGAGCTTCAGAAGCCTCCACACGCAGACAGTTGGAGAGTGTATCCAGGATCAGCTCCTGGATTTCATCCGACTCATTCTTCAATTTGAATACAAGTAAGGGAATCAAACCAGCATGCAGTATGGCAACAGCCCCTACAGGAGGAGACAGAGAAGGAACATGGGTGAGGTGTGAGTGCATTTGCTATTTCTACCTGCACTTTGAATTTCTTAATAGGATCAAAATACATATGGTAACTCATTTCCTTACACAGATGTGGGATTGAGAGATAGAAACTACTACAACACTGCTCTGTTTGTAAATGCCGTCTTAGCATTGCTTCCACAGAAGCTTCCCCAACAGTCCTGTAAAGACATCAGCCCAGGTAATAACCAAAATGGCAATTGCTCTGATGTTCCTAGTTTCCCCCATTATAATATTTCTCCCAAAATTATTCTTTCTAAGAAAATATAGGAGATATATATATATATGAAAGTCACCTTATAGCCAGCCTTTCTTACTGTTCTCAACAGAAACAGATGCTAAGAGAGGCTGAGATATGAGCCTTTAGAGCTAATACTTTGATTCTCCACTATGGTTTCTGTGGGGGAAGTCGAGGTTTTGGAAACTGTCAGCTTCCTCACACATTTCTTTGTAGTAATTGTCATGGGAAAATTTTAAATTTTGAGCTTTCCAGCAGTCGGTACTCTTGCACGATCTCCTAAAGGAAATAGCATCAAAGGTAGAAAGATCATCATTTCTCCTGCAAGTGATGCCTTTGCTATAAGCAAGTGTCTGGTTTGTACCATTTCTTACACAATACTAAGTCAACACTGAAACAGCAATGCCATGGGAAAGCAGAAAGCAGAACGTACTGTCCATGAGTAACTATGTGAAAACAAAATTCTCCAGCTGTCTTGTTGCTAAGACTGATTCTTTGGTTGCTAAGAGAAATGTGCCTCCTTTCAAAGTGATTCATATATGGTTAGATAAGGAAGTTTTGTGGATAAGAGTCATCAAGGTATTTTCAAATGGATCTCCACAGTCAGGGATAAAAGGACAAGTGGGAAAAAGATTTTAATGGCCCTTGGTAGTGCACGGGAGAAATCTCTGAACTTGACAATCAGGTGAAAACCATGATTCTAATCTAGAGGTTATTCTGTTGTACATGTTTCTGAGGTTTTTCTGACATTGAATAACTTCTTATGCTACTAACTTATTAGGATCCACTTTACTAACGCAAATGCAAAGAAACGCCTAGGGGGGATATTATTACAGCTTTTACTACCTGTGCTACCTTTGGAGGTCAGTTGCTGTGACAATTCAAGTAAATAATAAGGAAAAACAGATTCATACAATTCACTCTTGAAGGGTAACAGCATTTTAAAAACAAGGATTTCTCCTTGTGCCAGGAAGGCAAAGCAGGAAAGGAAAGAAGAAAAAAAATGTTCTTTGAAGCTGTGGCTCTGTGTATCACTAGATGGGGGGATGAGGGGTGGGGGTGGCATTTTCATGGTAAAAAAGCCCCTCAACCCTGTATTTATGTCCCCCGGAGGAATAAAAAGAAGAAAGTTCTCAAGGATCAGTTCCAGCCCATTCATACTGTCCCCGTAGAAGGATGTGATAAAGGAAACCTGCACTGTTGGTTTGACAAAGGATTCTCTTGGAGACATCCCAAGAAGGAGGCAAAGCTTGCACAGCTGACTCCATCATCCAGCATTAACTCCCTTGACAAGGATTACAGGTGTTTGAATTGTAGGTTATAGGTATAGAAGGGTTATGGGTGGGTTAGACAACACTAAGGATATGGCTGGGAATAATTCATGCCTTAGGGATTCCCAAGCACTAGGGAACCCACTAGTGAACTGCTTCCCTGGAAGTAGCTTAAAGCAGTCTCAGATGACTATAAATCATATCCAGAATTGGTTTAGCCATGCTTCCCAACGGTCTTTTGAAATAGCCTATGAAAGACAAGATTTTTCAAAGTCAACTTTTAAAACTCCTTCCAAGGTTTTTCATGAAAAGAAACTATATGGCCTGTGTGCATGAAATTGGGATACCCAGACTGCTCATACAGTCACCATGTACACTTCTAAATTCTGGGTTGCTGTGGAAATCAGTATAAAATCAAAATTTGGGAGGTACAGTTTCAGAGGAAGATTAATGAATTGGAGGTGATAGACTTACAAGCTGCCACTCCCTGTAGCAAGCACCTATTTATCATACAGTTGCTTTACCAGACGATCTGATACTTTTGAACCAAACCCACATCTGGACTACTTGACCATAAAGCAGTTTCATTCTTTCTAGATAAGATATCACACTGAATGTAAATAAGAGTAGCAAAGAACTGAAGTTTAAACTCCACACTCCTCCAGAACCTTTGTGTAGCTTTAATTCACACTGATACCAGTCTCCCTTGGGATAGTGTCACACCATAAGCATTTTGTCATATAATTTCATAAGCAAACACTTGTTCTTGCACAGAGCAGTCAGCACTCTGGCTCGAGCCCAGAGTAGCCATTGCTTCCTTTAATTTAACTTTCCACCTTTCTGTAACAACCATTGCCATAGATTCTGTCTACCTTTCTCATGATGGTAGATGTACTTTTTTCTTTCCTAGACAAGTTTCCATTACTATTTTTTGCACTTGCTTTGAAATACTTAATAGGCATTTTTTAAGCCATCTTCTTCGTTTCCATTTTTAGTTTCCTGCAATTCCCTCTTTTTCAGGACTTCCTTGCTAACTTATTTCAGTTCTCTTTATCACTTTATCATCATATTGCCAGTAAGTACTATCAGCATTCAAGTTTCACTTCTTTGTGTCTTTCACTTATCTTCATATATATTCAACCAATACATTCAACTAGACAGGACTGCTTTCATTGGCCCTTGAGTTTATTCCTTCCAGTTAATGTTTATGGACTTTCTTTGACTCGGTCATCCCTCATTCATTGCATTTGCACTTCATGTCTTCTTTTGGTGCTAGCCTTTACTATTGCACTGCAGTCCTGAGTGCAAAATATACAACAAAGCCACTTTATGTCTTTCTGTTTCAATAAGCTGGCAAGATAATGTACAGTGTGTTGTCTAGGATAGCTTTTATTTTGTGGAGCCACTAGTTAGTATTTATTCTGTGGTCAGAAATCTCCATGTAGCTAGTGGGTGCTTATTTTGTATAAACACTTGGGCCGTTTTCATTTTTTTAAAATTTGTTTTATTTTACCAGGCCAGGTCTCTGTAGCAAAAATTTTCTTATCTATTGTTTTCGTCAAGCTGTCCTATCTGAAATGCCATCATGCTACTAAAGGGAGCTTCCCAGAGATAAATATAGAAACAAAGATGAATTGTTTGACCTTGTCAAAACTCTCAATGTGGTGAAGAGAAAGAGGGTGGAGAGGAAAGGCCATCAACAACAATAAAAAGAGACTACCTAACGTTGAGACTAAAATTTCCAGGTGGAAATTCGTCATGGTTTTCCCAAGGGAGACAAAGGGTGAAAGGTCTAGGGAGGTAAAAGGGAAAAGGGAGGAGACAAAATCAGTGGAAAGCTGTTTGAGAGGTACTTGTAAATTAGAGCAGTCTCAGATCCTTGCATCTTACTGAGCAAGCAAAAGGAGGGGAAGGTAAGCTGGTGTTTCTTGTAGTCCTATACTGAAAAATGCGGCAGCATCCTCAGGATCTTGACTTTTCATTACAGTACCGCCCTTTCAAAGGTGATTTATCTATTGCAGTGAGTGTTCCATACCCTGGGCATAGTGAAGTAGTAGGGAAAAATGTTGTCAGAATGCAAATAGTTGCATTTGCAGCTGCATAGTTAACATCATTATTGATCTTTCTTTCTGAGAACTTGTAATCTTCCCTTGGGCTGCTTTTTATCTGAGCACTCATCTCTTCCTTCTCATAACCCTCTGGCCACTCTCATCCTCCATCTCCTGACTCTTTTTTTTTTTTTCAAATAGGCCCAAAGAGGCGTTGCCATTTATTCTGTTCTCTCAGTATGGCTGTAGGGCATGTAAACAAATTAAATTTTGTCGAAGACAAAGGAGTCATTTATAGTACATAACAGTGGTGTTTTGTTTTGGTTTTCAATTACATAAATCAATTCAATCAGATTACAAATCCTTTTCCTTACAAATGTCAGTTTTCAACTCAAAGCTGTTTAAATGTTTGTTATAGTATGAACCACATGCCTCACGCATGGCCACAAAGTGGCACACAGTGTAGTATAACATAGTAAAGCAATATGTAAACATGGATTCTATATAATATGAACGTTTTGTTAACGCCTCAGATGTCTCTTTGCAATGTTCGCACAACTATTTGAAATGCTTAGTAACAGCATTCTACTTAGGAAGGGGCACACAAGGAAAAGAAAGGCAGAGCTAGACACAATTGGAAGGAAAAATGCTGCCTAGCATCACGGTGTGCTATCAACACATCGAGTGCACAGCTGCTGTGAAATCCCAGGATGGGAGCTGTCCTGGTTTCGGCAGGAATAGAGTTAATTTTCTTCCTAGTAGCAGGCATAGTGCT